CCCCAAAACCCCAAAACCCCAAAACCCCAAAACCCCTTGAACAACAAATTCGATTGAATCTTGTGAGACAGATATGCAAATAATACCTATATCATAACCTGGCCTTAGGGATTAACTTATGTGGTCTTAACTTCTCTGCTTCGGGAGGGACTTAACCCTCAAATGGAGGGAATTAATCGGCTGAGTTCCATCATCTTTGGAAATTATATTCTCTTCTTCGTCTGAATCTTCTACGTTTTCAGGATGCTTAGAGATATAAGTGAAATAATCGTCTGTGTCAATATATGAGTTTCCAAATGTGCTATAGTTGCATTAGAAGTCGTTCACAAATACTAAATCTTGCTAAGATTCTCCCTTAGAATAGAATTATGCAAATTCATGTGCATAATTCTTTAGAGGGTGAAACAACTGGAGAATATTGGTCAAAATTCGAGGAAATGATTTATATAATCCCATTATCCAAGTCTCATATCTCAAATTTACCCAGTAACTTACTTAGATTGAGGAGTTATCGTCCTGGAATTTAACCCAGAATGATTGTCACTGGTAACAGCAAAGGCGAAATCAGGAGTGGAATTCTTAAGCTCTAGCTTAAGAATGAACTCCTTATTTTCTTCCTTTGAGCCAGAATCTTCTGACCTATTCATCTTAGATTGGGGGACCTGGATCGTATTTGTAAATCTAGCTTTACCACTTTTCTTATATGAGCATTTTACTTTTGTTGGAGTTTTCATGTAGTTATTTATAGCCAGTTTTATTAGACATGCTCAGAGCTGAATTTTCATATGGGTAAAATTCTAAATTTTAGGGAGGAACTTACTTGTAGATTTTGTCTTTTTCGAAAACCTCACTTTTTCTTGATAAAAATTGGACTTTTTCACTGAAGCTTCATTATTTAGGCATCTTTCTGGTAGAAATTGAGGAGAGATTTTAGACAGCTTGGTTGGCTTTTTAGGCTTATTTCATGGATACTGGCTGCAAAGAGCAAGGAATCCTATGTTTATTCTTTAAAAATGTCGAGAATTGAGGACTCAAATCCCTCTTGCTTCGAGGTCTTCTCAAAGATGACCCTGGCATACTCTTGTTCGGTTGCTTTCTTTGAACAGAAATCCGATTATTTACTTTAAGAGAGTTTATTATTTTCCTGCTAGGAGGTGAAATTTTGTCGTTAAATTCTTTCCTCTTAAAACTAGTCTGAGCATGTGACATGATGTTCCGACTCTTACTCTTAACAGGAGTTCGAAAAGCCATGACTTTAGTAGATGTCTATACGATAAAGTAAGATGGTCCTACCTCTTGAGAGACACGGTTGTAGATCAGCCAATTAATCTGGCTCTTACAATTCTTAAGCTGCTTCTTTATCTTCTTGATTTCCTTGCCATATCTCTTATGGTCGGGAGTATGGTAAAAACTTCTCTGATTATCAGAAAGTTTGTACAGGTAAATATTCTCCTGCTGGCTAGGAAGAGGAAGCGACCCTGTCAGGTTCAGCTCCCTATTCCGAGTCCTTCCTTTCTTCTGGATAAACTTGACAGGTTGACTCTGGATCGCCTCGTTGATTGGAGGTTTATCTGGAGAATATAGCATAGTAGTATCAGCACTTTGAAGAAACTTTGAATAATTTTTATTCTTCTTTAGAATTCCTATTTTTGAGAATTAACTGTTACTCTTGGAATTCTTTTTATTTCATTTTGGATTTGTGCAAATCATTGGATTTGGTCAGTGTTCCATGTGTTGAAGAGTTGTAATCCTTTGAAGAGGTCTCCTCAGCGGTAAATCGAGGAGATCGATATCCTGAAGAACGCTTTGAGTCTGGATCAATTATGAGTGTTGATTTAAGAAAATTCAACTTTCTAGAATTTTACTCTCAAAATTACTCGTTTTCGTTATAGTTAGAGGAGAGTAAACTTCCATCACAAGTTTGTTTATTCTCAATATCTTTATTGTGGGATTGACGATATTGCAGTTGAGTATCAGATCTATCATTATCATACTTTTCCTGAATAAAAATATTCGGATTTGGACCATAATCCTCTTGTTTGTGATCAAAATCTCAGAAATTTTGATATGTATAAGTCTATACCTCAGTAAAACTCGTGAACCCACCTTTTCTTCATGCTCACTGGCTGATATAGCGTTAATATTCATACTTATTTTATTTTTTAGTATAAAGTTGACTGGGGTTTTGGGGTTTTGGGGTTTTGGGGTTTTGGGG